CCATACACACAATTCCCACCGATCAACATCGCAAGGATTGCTCATACCATTGTACTCCAGCTATGCTAACTCCCTTGGCTCTTGAAAGTGTCGATTCTTGTGAGGTTTGTGCACTCCATCTCCTCCTCTTTATTCCCAAAACTAGCCAGGGTAAGTTTCATGCATTACATGGAGTCTAAAAAACAATGTTTTGAGACCTGGAGAGTTAGATCGCTTGAATCGTCACTCGGTGAAGAATGTGGTTTGGTTCATAACCATTTAACTCGTTGTAGTAATTGGTTTGAGTTAGCCCGCTGTGATCTATGAGGGTTTTAAAAACTCAACAAAAACCTGTAACCTAGAACGGTTGGACCATTTTAAACCACCTTTTTTCTTTTTATTCTTATTTTAGTAATAACATTTTTTATTCAATTTAAAAATGTTAATGTCAACTTACTTTTGAGTTATCATAGTAAATTTTTGAGTGTATAATTTGTTTATTGTCATTATAAGAATGAAAGTGTAGATAAAATTAAAAACTCATTTACTTTAAAAAAGAACAAATAAAGTAAATAAAAAGATATACATAAGAAACAAAAAAAATTAGAAAATTAGAATTTAATATGTTTTGATTGAACAATTCTGGTTTGGGAATGATAATATTAATATTCATAATGTTTTATTTATGTATATACACATGAATATTATTATTTTTTATTTAATTATCATGTCACTAGTTCACTACTGCACCACTGATTTAATCATTTAAACTATGAGAATTGTGATTCATTGACTGATTTTTAAAACATTGCTAAAAAATGAGTCGCCCAGTAGTAATACTAGTTATTAGTATATGTACTAATGAAGTTTTAAAAATTGTTTGCAGAATTGGTTATCAAGAAGAGTAATGAGTGCATGGCGAATAGGTGGAATAGTGCATGGTTTAGAAGGATGGAGTGAGCATGAGTATGGATATGCAATGCTCAATACTGATAAGGTTTGGAAGGCAATTCTTCACCATGGCTTTCAACCTCTCACTCATCAACAAATTTAATTACTTTCTAGAAGCTGTGTGATCTTATAGGAGAGAGAATGACACAATAATGGCTATATATCAAGAGAGAAAGAAGGAAGAGTAGGATCCATACACTGACAGGTGAGGTGGATTCTATTCCTCTGCAATTTTCTCTCTATAACTTAGATAGCAAAGGGATGCTTTATATTTTTTATCTTCAATTACTTTAAGACTTCATCATTGCTGTTTCTGTTGTTTATCTAGTCAAATGTTTTCAGATATGAATTTATGTGTGCGTGGTTAATTCTCAAATTCCAATTCTTGTTCTTAAAGCAAGAAACATACTTAAAAAAAGAAAATTGAAAATGCCTTTTAAAACTTTGACTCCCAAGTTTATAGAAATTGGTTAGGTATATTGAAACATAAATTGATTATTGAACTAGTCAATGTAGTGGCTCAAGTCATGATTATTTTTTAAGTCAAAACGATGTTGTTTTAAACTCAATAAAATAAAGAAAACATACAAAATTTAACTAGGAAATTGATTTATCACTGGTTCATTAGTCTGGCTAACCAATTTGAGTTGGATTTAAATACTATGGAGATTAGTGATTTTAATTGAACACGTTAGAATTATGACACTCATCACATACATAATTAATGCACACGTACTATTAAGTATTATTCCTATTATTTTATTTATATTATATTTCACAAGAATTAAGCAAAACCAGTAAAATACATATTACTTCTGTTTAAAAATTTAATAATTTCTCAAATTTTTTTCTATTAAATGCATACACACACATATTTTAATAATATATTTTCTCTCTCTAATATTTATTAGAGGGGTTTGGCAAAAAAAAAAAACTAGTGGAGGGTAAATGAAAAAATTTGTTATTAAAATTTAATGAATTGACTTATCAATAAAACAAAAAAAAAATTCTCTCTCTATCCTATAAATAAGATCAAAGGGAGTAATAGTCATGGATGTGAAATATGCTAGTTTGTCAAAATATAGTTAATTAATGTTCAAATTTCATATGCTTATATTTAAAATAGGAAAAATGACAAATGAATCCTCCTCAAATAGGGAAACAGCAATTTGGTCTTAGAAAATGAGATAATGAAAGTGAGGTCCTAAAGGACTTTTTAAAGATTACATTTTTATGTGAATTTATTTTAATTACCCCCTTGGATTTAAAAAATTATGATTTTCTAAATCATTTTAGTTATTAATGTAGAATCAAATTTGAGAATACTTACACCAAATTTGTAAATGATATATAATTAGTTAGACTTTACTGATAATAAATTGTAATTTTTTAAATTATTTTAGTTATTGGTGGAACTAAATTTGCAAACAATTATATTAAACTTGTAAACTATATAAAATTAATTGCAGGGGGGTATTAAAGTCATTTCATATACAAATTTAATCTCTCTCTTGAGACCTCACTGGCTTACTGTCATTATAATATTTCATGAGACTAAATTGTTATTTCACTTTTTTGAAGGAGTTTATTTGTCATTTTTCTTTTAAAATATATTTTTATATTTGACCCTTGACCATATTTTGAGCATGATTGTTTTAAATTGGCTTTTTAAATGTTTTACTTAGTTTAAAATATAGGACATTAAGTATGTGTTATATATTTTTCTATTACATTTATATTTTATGAGTAATTAATGATGGTATTCTAAATAAGTTAAATATTTAATTTATTGCACTCACAAGCGCACTATTGAAAAGATGAGAAAATTTTTTAAAAATTAAGATTTTAACCTACTTTTTTTTAAAAATATAAATTAGTTATAATAACTTATATCGTGATTCAAAAGTAAATCAAGTTGTAGTTAATAAACATTCACCATGGGTCCAAAAATGTGTTGAGTAAATTGCCCTGGCAAAATGTGAAAAATGACCGATGGCACAGGATCCTGATTGGCGGACTATACAAATATTTTCTTTAAATTGACATTAAATTGAGGGCATTAAATAGAGGTAGTTAAAATTTAAAATAGTGTGACATTAAATATATGGTATAATTGGAAAAGAAAAAAAAATAATTCTTACATTATAGGGTACATACATTTTGCTTTTTTCTTGATTTGTGTTTTTCCCTTATGAGGACACGTACATAGGGACGGAGGAAGTATAATTAATATGTTAAAATTCCTCCTAATTTTTTTATATTATATTATGCCCTTAGTAAATATAATATCCATATGAAAATTGTGCACAGTTAATTAATGTTGCTTTGAACTTATAAAATGACTACTTCATCCAATGCTATTTATAAGGTAGAGGGAGAAAAAAGATTCGGTCAAATTTGCAAGGCATGTTAACTTTTTATCACAATTTGTTTCTTTTATTTCTTATTAAATGTTAGGAAAAACATGTATTATTAAAATATGTAAATTTAATAGGAAAAAATTGAAAACTTACTGAATTTTTAGAAAGATAAGTTTTATGATTTTCATTGATTTCAAGAAAACATGATAAAAGTGATTTATAAATAGAATTAAATGACTTAATAAAGATAAATATTTTTTTTTAAATGACAACTAAAGAGGAACAAATGAGATATTGTATTTGCTAGCACAGAATTTGGATGGTCTTAAAACATGTATGGGAAAACTTGTATGTGTTTGCAGTGATTCCTTAAGTCTTTTTTTTTTTTTCATTATATGATTAAACATCTAATACACAATTTGAAATGTCAGTCGCCAGTGTGATTTTCTACTATTTCTATAAATATTTCTATAATTGGATTAGAGCTAAAGCGTTATTGTCATAGCAAAAATTTACTAAAACATATTAATTCACAAATATTGACTTCAGATATGAAGATCAAATTTTGTATTAATAATGAGAATGTCAATTTCCATTGTATCCACACAACCATTGGTTGTTAAATTGGTTTTACGTTTAGATTTAAGAAAAAAGAAAAAAGAAAAAAGAAATAATGGTTCACGAGCACAAGAGCAAAGAGCACAAATTCAGTCAGGCGGCTTAGTTTAAAGATGCAACACGCCCGCCAAGTTATAATTTCAAAAAAGTGCTATAACAGAATTACAATTCAGGGGCCGTTTGGTTTTTAGTTAAAATTAAAAAAAAAAACTTTTAAAATGGAATTTCAATCTAGATGTTGGCCATTTTTTTAAGATTAAAAAATAAGTTATTTTTAGATAATTTAAAAATTTTATAAAAAGATTTATTTTACAGAGATTTTATTAAAAAAAACAAACATTATTTTATGTTCGTTTATAATAATAAAAAAGTAATTATTAATTAGTTATTTTTAAATTTTATGATATATTCCTTAATTTTTATTTTATAAAACAATTTATTATTATATTATTTTAAAATTTTACAATATCTTCACATATTCTCTCTCTCTAAAATATTCTCTTATTTACCACCTTATAATTATTTTTAAAAGCTACTTAAAATAACTTTTAAAAATGATTAACATTTATTTTTTCAGATTCTAATTATTTTTAAAAATTTAAACAGATATAATAAAAACTTACAAAATAAACTTTTTAAAAAAATAAATAATTTTTTCATGAAATAAGATAAAACAAATTGATCCATTGGTTACCTCTTACCAGAAACTCATTTAAAAAATTATTTTTAAATGTGATTGAATGTGTTTTCAACCAACTCACAATTTTTTTACTTTTAAAACTAATATTCTAAAAGAACAGTTATTTATTCAAATTGACTTTTAAAAAATTTATCCAAACATAAATTTCTCAACTTTTATCAAATTAATTTTTATCAAATAAACTTTTAATAAATAAACTTCTAACAAATTAAAAACCAAACATATACTAAGTAATATCCTGGTCAGAAAAGACTATAAAAAGTGATAGTCAAATATTTTCGGTAAATTTTGAATGGCTTTAGATTGACATTGACCAGCTTTAGAAAGGAGACATACCATTAAAATTTGTTTAATTTCGAATAAAACGAACTCGTACTAAATAGGAGAGGATATGGCAGAATAAAAAGACCAAGCATTTCATTTCTTAACCTGTTGAGAATTAAAATTCACCAGAGCCAAGGGAGTCATGAAAGACTTCCCATTATGAATTTCAGACCAAAAAAAGAATACAACTACACTTTACGTGTGTAAAAGACCGCTTGTACAAGCCCAGGCTAGAAAGCATACCCCTAATAGAACAGCTTTTTCCACAAACTCGCTCTACAGTCTCCTGTTTCTGTAGTTACTGCAGTGTCATGAGCTGGAACCATCATCAATCAATGCCCAAATTGGAATAAGGTTCAATTCCACCCTGATAAATAAAAAATAAAAAATAGGAAAAAAGGAGGAAGTTGCAATATAAATCTGCTTATGGTACCACTCTATCCAACAAACCAATGGAACTAATATACGTCTAGACCAATCAGGATTTAACTCACTGCCTCTGGTTATGAATATAGGATGATTTATACATTTTAAGAAAAGTTGATTACATTCTTAACCTCATCAAAATATGACATTTGTTTTTAATTATATCCTTATCTACTGCAACAGTGTAAAAGATTACTCGCTCGGTCTTAATTTATAAGGCCATTTTAGACAAAAATCACACGTATTAATAAAACTTATTAAATATATTTTACAATCTTTTTTTTAAAATATAAATATAAATTTTTAAAAATACCCTACATTTAATACTCCAATGTTTGTGAAAGAATATTAGAGAAGGGAATATAAAAAAAACATTATTAATGAAACTTTATTTTTATTAAAATGTTTTATAATTTGAGATGAAAGGAGTACATTAAAATCTTTTAAGCACCTCTCTTTCATTCATTAAATTCTGGATCCTTATTATCAAGAGATTAATGGTGCCAAATTGATAACCGAGCAATCATGCCGAGAGCAATAATGCATTCTTAGAAAAATGAGAAAAGGGGTAAAATAGGAAGAAAATTTGTTAACACTACACATTGCCCAACTTTTTGGACCAAATATTACTTCTACAAGTTGCCATACATTTAGGAACGGAGGGAGTATAATGCTAACATACTAAATACCAAACAGAAGTTAAAACATCACAGTTGGTGTCAGTGTGTCAAGGTGGCACAATTTTTTCAATTAGTGAAAGCAATAAACGAATACCATATAAAAAACGAATCCTCCAAATCAAATGTTTTTACTGAAATAGGATACTTACTGAGCAATCATCATGAACACGCCATATAGTTTCCCCCAGAAGGTTTGCCACCGACAAGACTGTTAACTGAGGAAAATAGTTCTTCTCAGCCACTGGAATTGTATTTGTTATGATAACTTCTTGAAACACGCCACTTGATAGCCTTTCTATAGCAGGAGGACTACACAACATAAATGATGCATCATAAGCATAGCCACGTCATATCGATTAACTTGAATGTAACATAATAAAACCTAAGTAAACGATCAGCAATTGGACCTTTATTCTCATACATCCTTCATTCATTAATCATCGATGTTCTAAAAAAAAAAAATCAAAGCAATATTGAGAAAAAATTGTGAAGAAAAAATAACAACAGGTACTCAGAGGAAAAATCTATTAAAGAAATCAGAACAAGGAAAAGAGATAATATAAGCATGCATAACATCAAGTGGCCAAAGAAGTTCAACAATTTAGAGACAGGACCCTCTCCATATTAATTTGTTTATCATACTCCAACCAAAGAAACCATTTAGACACATGGCACAGCAGTAAAATTTCTACCCTCAAAACTAGGAAATCACCAAGTATCAGTTACTAGAAAGTGGAAAGTGGAAGCTGCTTCAAAATGGCATTTTAAACGCATTGTCACCAAAAATCTCAAAAAACCCATCATCACAAAAGTGCTAAGTAGTCGTGTGTTTATCTCTCAGGATCATCCTACAGATTGTCCCGAACTATAAGCAGAGTTACATACCTTTACAATGGTTTTGAGATTGACAAATGAGGTTGTGGTGAAGGGTACAAAGGCAAGGGATTCATGGCTAGGCTTTTAAGTTGGACTTTTGTGACAAAGTATATGATTGATATGATTGATTCAATTGGGGTTTCCTAGATAAGGTCCCAACTAGAAGGGGTTTTGGTGTTAAACAAGGAATTTGGATTCAAGATTGTGTGTTCAGTTATTGTCAATGTGAAGTCATGAATTCAAGGCAGGGAGGGGTAAGACAGAGGGATCTTTTGTCTCTGCTTCCATTTAGTTTGGTGCAAGGTTGTTAAAGGCGAAAGGCGCCTTTCTAGCAAAGTTGTCTCTGACTTCAGTTATTGTCTTCATGTTTGATGCAAGGTTGTTAAAGGCAAAAGGCGCACTTAAGGCACAAAGCCTATACTTAGGCACCTCTGAAATGTCTTAGCATGTTGCCTTTCACCTTAGGCGCTGAGGCAAGCACCTTTAACAACATTGGTCTTTGATGTGTTGAATCTGATTTCAACACCGGTAAATAGGGGTTTTTTAAAACTATTTATTGTACGTGTAGTGGGGGAGTTTATTTTACATGGATATAGTTTGCTAGTGATACCATTCTTGTTTTGGAGATGGATAGAAAGAGCTTTATCAATATTCTCCTTATTCTTCAGTTTATTTGAGATTAATTAGGGAAAGAGTGGTTTGGACTTTTGCAGGACTAGATGTCTGAGGAGGGTCTTCACATTTTTGCCTCCCCAGTGGATTGGCAGGTTCTTCAGTGGCATATCGTTTATCCAGGGGTGCCTTTAGGAGGCAACCCAAACACCAGTCCACTGAAATGCTCCGAGTTAAAGATTCATTTACTCTGCCCCTTTTTCCTATTCAAAAATCAGCCTTTTGCCTGTGTTTTCCTATCGAGAATATTCTTTTTCCTTTTTTATTTTTGCTCTCAGTCTTTGGAGAAAGACACATTCTTCCAACAGTAAGAAAAAAATAGGGGAAAAAAACTGCTAGTGCACCCCTATCTATCTCTAAGTCCCTTGCTTCTTTCCTATGGCAGGTTTCAAAGGGTAAGCTTACCCTTGACAATCATAGAAACAGCACTTTTTTTTTTTTTTGGAGCATCTCAGCTTCAAATAGATAACAATGGTTCAAATGTAATTACATATATATATATATATATATTATATTTTCACAAAACCAACAACAGTTCACTAGAAATTTATTGCTGGCAAAATCAAATGAAATGCAGAGACTACATGCTACACATTCAAAGAAGGTGAATCTAGTCAATTGATGTCAACAATAAACCAAAAAGTATGAAAATAAGTGTTTATCAAGTGGGGGTGTGTGCGTGTGTGTGTGTATTCAAAGAGAATTGTGCCTTCTGATTTCTCATCCTTATATATACATAGGACTTCTTTCTTTCTTTTTTCCTAAAAAAGAATAACAACAACATTATAATGAAAATTGGCTCCACCTGCAGCTTCCATACTTTTACACGATTGCTGCTTATAGGCATGGAATATAAAACATGAAGGTAAATATACCTGAATACAGCATGTGTACTACACGCATAGACTTCTCTTGCCCCCTCTTGATGCAATAGAGAGGCACCTTTGGAAATAGTCCCTATAACAACAATTTAAAAAATAATGATCATACAGAATACAAATTAGTGGGATTCATTCCAAGAGTCAAAGCTAAATTATATACTCACCAGCAGTATCAATCATGTCATCTACCATAACTGCTACTTTTCCTTTCACATCTCCTATCAAATTCATCACCTGCAAGATGAGATTCAGCATAATCAGAGGGCATAAGGTAGAGTATCAAATTAGAACCTTCGTCATGAATTACAGGGAAAAAAACAAGTGGTTTTTTCAGCCATCTCTTAAAAAGCAAAATTGCAGGGAGATCCATGACTCCTAAACAAAAAGCAAAGAGGTCAAAGTATACAGAATTTAAAAATTAGAGAAAACCTTCCTGCTAGATATATCATTAACATCTTAGCAAGTCATAAATAACCAGAAGAAATTATCTGAGTATCATGCTTCAGCTATGTCCTACAATACAATCATTCAAAAATTTCCTATTTGTCTCACACAACGTGTCCTATTTGTCTGCTAGTTTGTCATTCATATACACTGAAAGTGGGAAAAAGAAAAGAAAGAACAGTACAAAAGTTATTCTATATTAGTCATATGCATACGAGATAAAGCAAACCGTGTAAACAGTGACATAATAGTTATACTTTTTAAATGGATTAATTATTGTTGGAAGAAAGAATAGAGGAAACGCAGAGTATGTGTGATGAGAACCCAAGTGGAGTGGGGGACGACCCAAAAAAAAAAAAAGTTACAGATGTGAAAACCAATCCTCTTAAAGTACCTCATAGTCCACTACATGTGTTAAGAGACCACGGCAGGCATATTCTAGAAGGACATGTCAGAAAGTAAATTAACAAGGCTTCTGTTTGATATTTTATTTGAATTTATTCTACAATTATGTTGCTGAGTCATTTAGGAGTCAGTTTAGAAAAAATATAGGGGCTATTTGAAACTGTTTTTATTTTATTGTTGAACTGTTGTTTTGTAAAACAAATTTCCAAGAACAAAAAAATAATAAAAATAAGCATTTTTTTCATTCTCCCTTATTTTCCAAAATAATAATCACAGAACACCTAAAAGTTGCTACCATTTTTCTGTTCTCCAGAACAATATTTTGTTTTTTTGTTCTCCAAAACACTTTTTGAAAATACGTTACCAAACAGATTTTTTTGTTCTCTTGTTCTGGAAAACAAAAAACTGGTCTCAGAATAGCCCATAGAAACTCAAGGCTGATAGTTGGTTCCCAGCAGTCAAAATTGTAATTTTCCTACAGTTGCATTTTTCATAGATTATAGGAATTCTTTTATTCATTTTCGCATAATCTCTGCTCTATAAATACCTAGCAACTTCATAAGCTAGGCAGACTGGAAAAATAAAGAATTCTTTTCCTTTCAATTGAAGATTCTCCTACCGTTTGGTTATTAAGAGTGTGTTAGAGTGAGATTTTTACTTAATTTCTTCTTAATAAAATTATTCCCTTCCCTTTTTTTTAGACAAGTGTGGACTTGCCAACATGCTACTCAATGTGAGAATTACAAATGCCATACCATATTACTCTCCGTGAATATGGCACCTTCCAAACAGATACTGCAGTAATTCACATTTAACATGAAATAACCCTCTTAATGGCTTACATGTCATGGGCTTACATAAATAATAGCAAAGATAGAATTCTACCTCTGCAACATTGTGACCATGGCGTCTTTTATCCACAATAGCCAAAGGCGCATCAGATAATTTTTTTGCAAAAGCACGTGCTCTAGCAACACCACCAACATCTGGTGAGACAACTACCAAATCATCTGAGCAAATAGTCTTGCTAGCGAGATAATCAAGTATCACAGGCTGTTGTTGGCACAAAGGAACATACGGTTAGTCAATCAACCAAATCATTGCGGAAGTTGATATATTAACTTATCTTAGTCCATACTCTAATTATCCAACAGTTACAATAAAATCCTCACTATAAAATCAAAGAAAATATCAAGAAAAGATAGCAATTAACAACAACAAAGAAGAGGTGAGGGAACAAGAGGTAACAAGAAAACCTAAAAAATGAGAGAAAAGGAGTAAAGGCCCTTAATGTTTTCCCAAATGAGTACAACTGAACACCCTGTTAACAGGTCAGATATAGTAACTCCCTTAAAACACCCATGTGAAGGAACGAAGAAGTCATATGAAAAATTCTATGCAATAACATATGCAAGAATGAAATATACTCCAGAATATGCAGGCATATCTCAATGAAGGAAAATTAGGAAACATTTATGCATGTATTCGGCTACTATTTACCCAGTTTCCTAAAGGTAACCTTCCCGATTGCAAAACTCAATTTTGGTTTAATATTCCATTTTACAAAGGTCAGTTTTAAGTCACCCAAACAAGCATTATCAAAAATGAGTTTTGCAAAAGTCAGCTGGGACCTTCAAAACCGGAAGCCACACACACACTATGATGTTTTAGTTTTTTTATTTTTTTTTTTATGGTTAGTAATTTATTTTTATTAGGCTTTCTTAGGTTGTTTCCTATTGCATTACCAATGCTAAGCATGTATGTGTGTGTATCCATATTCAAGTGACAACATGTGTTTTATAGTCTCCATGCTCTTCCACATTTAGTAAATAGCCTAAGTTATATTTACCTGCCCATAAACATGATCCACAGGAATATCAAAATAGCCCATAGACTGCCCAGAATGAAGGTCACAAGCAAGGACTCGATTGGCACCTGCTTCTGTAATTAAATTGGCTACAAGCTTGGCGGCAATGGATTCACGCCCTTGACTCTGAAAATACAGTTAAGAAAGTGTTCAAACACAATTGAAATTCAATATATGATATTTTCAGTAAATTTTCATCAATATCAATGTAAGCATGACCTTTCCATATAAAATTCTTAGAACTTCTAGAAATTCTTCTGTTATACTCCACTTGCAAGGAGAAAGTTACTGTGAAATCTCAAGTGTTTTAATAATGTCCTCCTAACCACAGGAAAATATGTTGTATAATAAGCATCAAATTCAATTATAAATAGCAAATACATTATGAACATCTTAAAAGGCTGAAATAAGCATCCCACTGCAGGGTATCAACTGCATAAAAGATCTTGAGCTAACCATGCTAGAGAGGGAGGAAATATTGCACCACAGAAACAGAGCAGTGAATTTAAGACCCAAAATGTGATATGGTGGGGAGAAAGAGAGTGCAAGAGAATCTTCCAATTTAACAATTAAGCTATAAAGATACAATGGATGAGTTAAATTTCTAAATGCACAAACGGACCTTCCTATCAGCTCTAGCATATCCAAAATATGGAATGACTGCAGTAATATTTTTGGCGGAAGCCCTCCTACAGGCATCAATCATTATAAGAAGCTCCATAAGATTTTCATTGGCAGGAGGACATGTGGGCTGCACAAGAAACACATCACATCCTCTGACACTCTCTTGTAGCTGAACATATATCTCACCATCAGCAAAACGCTTTATTTTTATTTTCCCAAGCTCCAGGCCCATGTAGCAGGCAATTTCCTATTTAATACACAAATATGCATTAGCCATTTTCCACATCAAATAGTTTGTCATAGAGTATTTGCTAGAGTTCAAATGCAAGTAATCAAACAAAACATGTTAGCAAATGCAGTCAAAGAAGTAAATGGTCCCATTTGAATGGGTTATTAGCAGATCATTAGAGCTTATCTGCCCCAACAAGCACCGATTAATCATTTCTTGTATTGGTATAAATTTACTGGCAATGCCTCTATTAGTTAATCGCAAATCGTAAGTCACATAAACTAAGTTTAGACTGCAGTACAACACTGAACTCTTATTGAATAAGTATTCTTATATCATATTTTTTAAGCTATTTATTCAATATGTAGGAGCAAACGAGAGAAAGGGAAGGGAAGTAGATTGAACATCATGCTGACCTGCGAAAGAGCTGGATTTGCCGTACCCGAAAAAATTCGGAGTCGAGTATCATTTTTGAAAATTGAATCATGAACACGAGAATTTGGTGCTAAGAAACTGGGAATTGAATTTCCGCCATTGACTATAACATCATTTGGTTTCCCATTCTTAAACTTCAGTGGCTCAACTAAATTACACCTCTGAGAAATTAACCAAATAACATAAGACAATCGGAGCTTAATTGAAGCAAAAAGATGATGATAACGGGAAAAAAAGGCCTGAATTGAATTAAAAATAAGGCATGAAAGATGACTTACGATCCTGTTTCGTAGTGAGATATCAGGGCAACGATCAGTCGCAGCAAAATATTTATGAGTAAGCAAAGAACGGGAAGTGAAGGAGGAACAGAAAGCTGATTGAAGAAGTGAAGTAGACATAGCTTATACAGCTATTGCACCAACTTAAAGAGTGCTTTCCTCTACTGCCCCAACTCGTCCGCCAATACCGAACCCCTCAACTGAGAGGGGAAGAAAGCTGAGAGACACAGAGCATAAGAGAGATTAAGACGGAGAAAACAAGACGAAGGGAGAAACGAACTTACTGAGCAAGAGAAAATAGGAATGAGAATGGTCAGCCACCTGCAACGAGTCTCTCGATCGAGAGGATGAACGCGAATGACGCCGTTTTGGGGGGATGAAAGTGGGAAGAGGACGACACTGAGACGGGCGTGAAAGAGGATGAGAATGAGCAGGTTTAGCTTCTCAGCAACTAAACGCAGCGTTTTGTTAAATGCAGAGACGGACCATGGAAAATGGGGTTCTTACATTTTTGTACTGTCCTTGTCGAGACTCGGCTTCTCTCAAGCTTCTGTCCAAATTTTTTTATTTTTTATTTTTATTCACATTTTAAAAATAAAAAATATATAAAAATTATAAAAAAATTTAATAAATATATTTATCAATGTGACAGTCTAAATATAATATAAATAATTTAAATTTAATATTAAATTTTTTTAATAAATTTATTGTTTTATTTAGAATATATTTACACTTTTAAAATATATCTAAAAAGTTAATTTAAATTTTTTATATTAAATTTGAACCATTTGCATTAAATTTAAATTATCATATTGATAAATATATTTATTAAAAAAATTTATAATTTTTATATATTTTTTATTTTAAAATTATAAATAAAAATAAAAATATTAAATTTGAACTGTCCAAATTAAATCTGGATAGTCCAAATTTACCTCTGCCTCAAAGGAAAGGCAAAGGAGGCTTCTCTCAAAGAGAGAAGCTGAGTCCATCATTATCATAGGATATGAATATGATGTAATTATTTTTATTTTAGATGTTTAGGATTTTTTTTATTAGGATTATTTATATAAGAATATTTAGAATATCTATTAAATCATTTAGAATTTAATTATATTTTCTTATCTTAGGATTTATATTAGATTTTATATTTTCAATAAGTAGGAAATCTTATCATAAAAAGGGTGAATTAGCAAATTAGCCCTTAAACTATATGTTTAGAAACATCTGGGATCATAAACTTATTTTTTATGCAATATTTTCCTTTAACTTTTAAAACATTGCAATTTGACTACTATTGTTAATAGAAGTTAATTTTAACTGTTAATTGAAAAAAAAATAATATTGAAAATTTCCTCAAAAATTACAAAAAAAAGACTCAAAAACTATAGTAAAAGATTCTAAAATTACAAACGATGTCTCAACAAAGTACATAAAAGGACGACCAAGAAATTTTTTTCCTTTTCTATTATTTTCTAGTTAAGTAATGATTAAATAAATTAACTTTTGTTAAAGATAGGGGTTAGATTGCACTGTTTTTAAAAATTAAAGGAAAATATTGTATAAAATATAAGTTTAGTGTCTCAAATGCTTTTGAGCCTATTGTAAAAATCCCTCACGACTAAATATAATTGACCAAACAAACTCATGATAATCAAATGATAACACATTTAGGAGATTACCAAGTTTTTAGTTTCAAAATAAGAGATCTCAAGTTTTCATAATTAAAATGAGTTTAAATCAATTATAAACTCCTATATTATAGTAAAAACAAGTTACAGAAGCATGAGATACCTTGAAGGAGTGAAAAAGAATGAAAACAATTGAAGAACAACATGTTTGCTGCAGAACAAGGCAATGTACCACGACTTATGCACACTGCGCTGCGGTGTTGTACGTAAATGATAGCTGACAACAGAATCAGGGAACTTCTGACACACCCTAATTCTCTATCCAACATCCGAATAATATGATCTAGGTGCCTGCAAAAAGTTCTTTTCATAAACTAGCTAATGGTACAGATTTTACTTTCAAAACAAGTCACACCAGAAAGTTGGGTAACCCAAACCTATTTTTACCACTTTCACAACAAAGGGTGTCTAAAACCCGAAAAAAGTACCAAAAGTCTTTCCTAACACCTGGACTATATCCATTGAACTTAGGACTATCAGTACAATATGTCTTCACACTCAGTCAATAATATAACACAAAATCACTTCTCAACCCCTTTTTACTAAAAACTGAAGGGGGAGGTAATCTATTTGCATTGCCTCAAAAATCATTTGATTCATGAACAAAACAACATTCCTACACTTGTACAAATATTTTAGCCCTATCAACAAATGTGACTTAATATACATATGTTGGACATAATGGTTTGTCACATTATGTTTAGCTTAAGTTTTGATGATAACAAATATAAATGAGTTAACTATTCTTTTGCCTAATTGTTTTCATATAGAGTAGTTAACTATGACTATGAAACAAGAGATTTAAAATGTTTTTACTTATGATGTTCCATATTACATGAGATTTGAAAAAATAATTTGTATGCATCAAAGTTATTTTATACTATCATATTTTTTCTTATCTTGTATTGATTTTATATTCAAAAGTATTCATAGTATTATCTTACATAACTTGGATATATGCATATTGATACTTGGACTAACAATTCTATTCATATATCATTTAAGGTTGTCCAAAGTGAAGATGAGAGTAAGTATGAAGAGGAATAAGTTAAAGTCATCATTTGCATGCTACACTCATGATTGGAGAATATAAAGATAAAGAGAATGATGATCCAAGAAGAGCTTAAGAAGATTGAAGTCATTCATACAAGCTTAGATGCACCTTGAAAGTTTTAGACTTAATAGATATAATATCATTAGGCTAGAAGTCTTTATGTTAAACTCATTTATTTAGATATGAGATGTTGGCTCGAGATATCTTAAAACAAGACATGCATTTTAGTTATTAAAAGAAAGAGTGAGATATAATTTTTTATCACTACTACAGAAAAGGGAATATTAGACAGTTATTTTTGCCTATATTGGACGGTTATGAATTTTCTAATATAAGACTGTTATATATTAATAAAATAAATATTGGATGGTTATTAAAATCGTCTAATATATAATATTGGTGTATAAAGGCATTCCCGCATCATTTCTCAACCTCTTTATTATTTCTGGACAATCTTGGAATTCTTCTTCAACAGCATTAGTCATCTCTTCAACACAATCATCCTTGTCTATACTTGTTTCGAAATCATGTGACATGTATGTATTGCTATACTCATGGCTTCTATCAGTCGTATCCCTTAACTCACCATGCTTATGCCAATATGTATAAGTATATCAATTTCAAAATACACTAAATGATCTTCCAACTCGTTCGCACTAACCCGCTTCAAGAAGCCACATTTTACACAAAGGCATACAATACTATTATGGTCTACCTCATACTTTAGTGTGAATCTAATGAACTCCTTTACCCTATCCACATATTCTTTTATGACTCTATTCGCAAACATCCATTTCTTGTCCATAATCTCTCTCAATCTAACGAAAATTGTTGAGAAAAATAATGTTAGTGATTCAATCATATTGAAAGAGTTAGTTTAATAAATATATTAATTATTAATTCAATCAATCATGAGCCACATGCTTTTTCTCACACACACACACATCATCTCTCTTTAAGATAATTAAATTTAAGATAATACTTATAATTATATTAAATAAATTATAAGAATTTTATCTTATGTGAAAACTTGCCAACAAGTGAATTCTTTTATTTATAATTTATAAAAAATTAAGAATTATTTTATGTTGGTTATAATAATAAAAAATCATTTTTTACTTATAATAATAAGTAATATAACTCCGCCTATGTTTATAGCCGGTCCCAAGCCCGAGTAAAGGAGGAGGGTTGTGTTAGGCCATCAACAGCCAATGTAAAACTTTGTTGAATCTATCATGAACATTGACAATAGACGTTATAATGTTAATGGTCATTGCCCGTAAGTAACGCGCTGTGTGGCTCGAGTACAGTGATAAGTGAGTTAGAGCTGCTGCTCGGCATGTAGTGGCAAGGGCTACCGCGTCATTCTAGACGCACGCGGCTAAAGAAGTTAGTCCATAAGAGTAAAATTAGATTTGGTACTTGGAATGTTGGGACATTAAATTGTAAATCTATAGAGGTTGTAGGGGTTATGATTCAAAGGAAAATCAATATCCTTTGCCTGCAAGAAACAAAATGGCGTGGAGAAGAAGCTAAGGATATTCAAGGTTTCAAATTTTAGTATACAGGAAAAGTAAGTGCACGCAATGGAGTAGGCATCATTAAAGATAAGGAGTGGAAGAAGAACGTTGTAGAAGTTAGCAGAATTGAAGACAGAATTATTTCCTTAAAAATGATAATTGGATGTGAGACTGTTAATATTGTTAGCGCTTATGCGCCACAAGTCGGGACAGAAGCCAGTCTTAAGGAATTATTTTGGGAGGATCTGGAGGGGTTGATTCGACACATACCACAAAGTGAAAAGATTTTTATTGGAGGAGACTTTAATGGGCATGTCGGGAGGGAAGCTGGTCAGTATGTGAGGGTGCATGGTGGTTTTGGTTTTGGAGAGCTAAACAATGAAGGACAAACTCTTCTTGATTTCTTATTGGCGTATGATTTTAAGATTGCCAACACTTGTTTCAAGAAGAGAGATGAGCATCTCATCACTTACAAAAGTGGAGCCTCAAGGTCACAGATTGATTTTCTTTTGGTTAAGAACACAGATAGAAGACTTTGTAAAAATTGTAAGGTGATCCCTGGAGATGCTGTAACGACACAACATAGGGTCCTAGTCCTTGATGTGTGTATTATGAGTAAAATCCAAAAACGTCGACAAGAAGTAACACCAAGGATTAGGTGGTGGCAATTAAAAGGTGAGAAGCAAGATATTTTTAAGCGAAATCTTTTGGATAAAGGAATTTGGGAATCTCAGGGAAGTGCTAACATCATATGGGAGGATATGGCTAAAAAGATACGGGAGGTTGCAAAAGTAGTTTTGGGAGAATCGAAAGGTTCTGGTTCGAGAGATAAGGAGACTTGGTAGTGGAATAATAGTGTACCGGACAAAATCAAGTATAAGAAGAACTGTTTTAAAGCCATACATTTGTGTAACAATGAGGAAAATTGGGAGAGGTACCGTATGGCTAAGAAGGAAACTAAGAGAGTTGTGGGTGAAGCTCGTTCTAAAACTTTTGAAGAATTTTATAAAAACCTTGAGACGAAGGAAGGAGAGCAAAATATTTATAAGATTGTCAAGAGTAGGGAAAGAAAATCAAGAGATCTAGAACAGGTAAGGTGTATTAAGGATGAAAAGGGAAGAATTTTAGTTACAGATGATGAAATTAAAAATAGATGGGAGACTTACTTTTCTAAACTTTTCAATGATGGAGAGGAT